TTTTTTTTAAGTAGCTAAGCATTGCAACTGCAGGATACCTATCACATTATTGCATATGTTGCGATGAATGGGCTGTTAAGCACATATTGAGAAGTAATACATTAATCAAAAAATTGCAATAATCGATTGATATAACTTAGAATTCTAGCTCAGATCTATACTTGCTATATTGTGCTGGGTTATTATTGTAGTGTGCAGTACAGTATAGTGAATGGCCAAGTAGCCGTATGTCATGGATGTTGAAAATGTGAAGATCGTAGATGGGCTGATCTTCGGTTACCTTGGCCGGCAGCAGGTTAGTGTTTATATGGATAGTTTTCTTCACAAAGTGTGCGCTTATAATCTTTTTGTATTTGTGAAGCCGTTAGTTCTTTTGAGTTAAGTTTTTTTTGCTGTATTTAGTTGAGAATATTTCTCTATATTGTTAGAATTTATTAATTGACATTGTAGTTAATTTTTGTGTGCAGTTTTTATTTGATAACAAGTCTACTCTTCTTCCTCAACTTAGATGATAAATTAGTGCCACTGAAGTTGAATAGGTAATATGACTTTCCTTCCATTGCAAATACATAATTGCGTTAACCATACAATATGTACGATTTCCAAGGGCTGGAAAAATAACTATGGAATGTGATTAGGGCTGCCTATATGTGTCTAAATTTTCATCACGGTGCAGTGAAGTTAAGATTAATTGTTTGTTGAAGCCCCACTTGCCCCCTGGATTATTTGCAAAATTAAGTATACGAGACTATAAATATGGCACTCTATAGTTTTGCCGACATAAATTGGAAGCTGTGAGATAGACATGCCGGGAAAGCACTTATTTGATTATTCTTAACTTACCTTCACATCTCCTCATAGACGCGCTGCTGTTTTTTTATTGAAAGAAATATTGGAAAATGAAATTTGAGCTCTACATTTTTTCGCTTAAATTCAGAATTCTACCTCTTTCACACATTTGACGAAGTATCAGATTGTAATCAATTAGAAACTCTCTAAAACAATGGATATTACATTTTTATTTAGAATTCCGGCTTCTTTTATGTGACCTATTGATTTATCTCAAACACATTATACGATTTCTTGGCTTGTTAGAGAAGTGGAGAAACCTCCAATTACAAAAAATAGCGCTTTCAATCTATTGAAGACAAAAAAGGCATTGTACTGCTTGGCCCGAAAGAGTCAATCCAGTCGAAAGTTTGGAGGGGAGAACATTAATCCAGTCGTTTTTCTACACAGCCTGAAGAAGACTTTAGATTCCGAAAAATAGGGATAAGTCATCATGTTTCTATTACTAGAACTTTTTATGTTATACAATCATCAGATTCGCCGATTTTAGTACCACGATACTTTGCGCGCTCTTTGCAATGAATCGCCATCTTTGCGTAATGGTGGTAATCGTTTTCAAACCGGTGCTGATGTCTACATACAAGTTAATGATCAACTGCATGATAAGAATCTTGAACAGATAGTGCAAGTGAGTTAATAAAATCTTGGCTTATTGGACAACTTTGAGTAGAGTCGCTAGTTGATTTTGTTAGCAGCGCTCATAAATAAAAAAGGTTTATAGGCTCAGATATTCTCAAATGTTTCAGGCTTTTTCAATGGTTGGGCGTTTCGATGTTACTCCTGAGCTGATTGACTTCGGCATTCGACTACGTAATCTTACTAACGAATTCTCTACGATGACATCGATGAGAGGACGGAGTTTGAGGTGTGCTTTGACTCAGTTTCTAAATGGTTTCTTAAGATATTTTTTGTTTCCTTCTTCTCATTTTCTATAAAACCTTAGAAGGAAGTAAGCTTTGCGGGTTGTTTCCCTTATAACAGCCTTAATCTTATTTTAGGATAAATCTTTATCAAATAGCACTATAGACTGAAATGATTTTCAGTGATAATCAGATGAAACTTTATGGAAAGCGAGCATACAGCAAAATGCACCAAAGCCGTCAAACCTCCTCCAGCACTTCTATTCGCTGTGATTCGGCCCAAACCGTAGCTTATCGCCCCACTGTATACTGGTTCGTCTGCATCTATTCTTCCTCTTTGCAAAACTCTTCTGTATTCCTTTGATAAGGCATGAAGCGATAAACTTCTGAATCTATTTGGTAATAATCTGGTCTATGGAGTCGAAAAAAGTAATCGTCTAACGAAATATCATTGCTTAGTTAGAAAATATACTTGCTCTGACCTAAATTTCTTGGAAGAGGTCTCTATGCATAATTGCCTTATCGTAAGTGAAAGGAGAGTTTACATTTTGAGCTAGAATATCAGATATGATATAGTGGACCAGTAGGTAATCGCAGAATCCTTTTCTGATCTTGTTTAATTTAAGCAGTAACTTGTCACTCTCATGACAAGTTACTAAACAAGTTTAGAAAGATTGCGAAGACGATTTGCCATAAACTCTTATGATGCTAGGCTGTAGGTCTGTATTAAAGTTTTTTTTGCTCACAGCAATGTTTTAGCGTAGCTCCTAACTCAAACGATGTCGAATATGTTCGACAGTCGCATGACAGTGCTATTAACGCGGGTGTAGCGCATGGTGCGCAACGGCAACCCATTAGTCATCAGGATCTCAGCTATGACTATCAGTCACAGGTAAGTCTTGAAGTTTTGAAACATTGGCTTGCCTGAAACAGCGGGCTTAG